AGTAGGTACTTGCCTGTGGTATCTATCCATGGAGGCTGTGCCCTTAACCCTCTTTTCCTCATGAGTGGAATATAGGGAGCGGAAACCTCCGTAAGGTATGCCTTAAATTTATCCCAGGCTAACTGGACAGAGTCAGCCATCGAGATCTCACAGTTCAGAACTGAAGCCTTAGTTCGCATTGCACTAAAGTCCGCCCGCCAAATATTCGGAAGTAATTCAACAGCGGTCTCTTGGTGCCTTGAAAGAGCACATCGAAAGGATATGCATGCGTGATCGCTGGACCCTAGAGGTGCACCGCATGAAACGTCAGTCACGAAGTCCAGGGACTTAGCGAAAACCAAATCCAAAGTAGATGGTATTTGGTTGTCCATATACCTAGTGGGAAAGTCAACGAACTGGTGCAAAGGCACTTGGAGAGTCAGTTCAAGGAAGTCTGCACCGAATGTTCCTAATGCCGAATTGCAAGAAAGATCGGCCCAACAGACTTCCGGGAGGTTGAAATCCCCTAGAACTAAACACTTATTCGCAGACTGAGTGCGAATAAAGTCAAGTATCCCCCTGGAGGAACTTCCAGGACTTCTGTATATCACTATAACTGTAAACTGGGTAGAGGAAGTGCACAAAACAGCCGATAGGGCTTCAACAGTCTGATCCGACGACTGGAATGTGCAAGTCCTCAACACATCTAAGTTACAGCTCACATACAGTACAACGCCTCCGCCTTGGCGACCAACGGAGCGATCAGTTCTAAGCAGCGCGTAGCCAGGTAAATATACCTCACCGTCCGTGATATCCGGAGACAACCACGTCTCAGTGAAAGCAAGTATGTCGGGACGAGATTTGTCTACAAGTAGACCCAACTCGTGCACCTTGTTCCTTAGGCTACGCACGTTGCTAAGTACTACCTCAAGGAAGTCGGCACGACCATCCCTGGGTCGTGCGCCATCAGGATTGGTTCTGATAGGGCGGAAAGTAACTTCCGGCTGACCACCTGAAAACCCACCAGACGGAGGCCTTGCTCACCAGCCGCCCGTCTAGTTTTGAGGTCTTTGATAGCCTCCTTTAACTTCAACCTATCTGCCAGTGGTAGGTCCGGCTGAACGCTGACACCACTACCCTTAAGTTTGAATGCAAATCGCAGTAACGATTTGCGTTCCTCCGGGGTAGAAAGGACTACGCGAAGTAGTCGGGGTCGTGGATTTGGCGCAGCGACGGGAACGTTCCCCAATCTGGTCAGCTTTCTGACAGTGACACCAGGGAAACCAGGTGGAAGCAGCTTGCTGACACACAGTTTCAGCCACTTGATGTCATCCAAGATGCGTTCCCTTGGGAGAACGGCCTCAGATTCAGTAACGTTACGGAATATAACGCTACTATCAGTGAAAGAGTCGGCACGACGGGGAGTGTTTACCCCACGTGCCTTGGAGTCGACACCTGTACCAGCTGTTTTCACCACTGGCGGTGGGACTGTCCCTGGCTTCCCAAACGACGCCGAAGCAACGGTAGCGTAGGTTTTCCGCTCTATTGCCGGCGTCTTACTGGTTCCTGGGTCTTCAAGCCCCTTCGAAGTTTTACGAGCAGATCTTGTCCGCTTCTTCTTTTGGCTCACTGGAGCAGGGGCCGTTGACTTTGTATCGCATTGAGCAGTTACCAGCATTTCGTCAGAACAGGCTGGTTCACTGGCGGCCGAGACAGTCAGCGTCTGTGGAAAGTTCTGTGTGCAATCGTCAGACGAGTTTATGACTGTCAAAGACGGCATCTCTTTCGATGCCGTGGCAACTATTTCTCTGGGTTTAGCAGAGGGCTTTTGGTATTTCCGCACCCTATTTTTCTTCACTTTGATCGGATCATGAGGACCGCCAGCAATGCTACCTGGATTGGCCGGTAGGATGTGCGACTTTATGACCGATTGACAGACTCCAGTGGATGGATCGTCAGCAATGTTGCCGGCTATTGCTGTGTCTTCAAACGAAATATTTAGGGATTTTAAAATCAAATCCATTTTCGTATCGAGCGAAGCAATAGAGGCGAGTTTAGCTATCGCCAACTCAACATCTGCCAACCTTGAAGCCAACGCTGAAAGTTTAGCACCGGTGACAGCCAGGCGCGTCGATCTTTTAGCGCAGCATTCAGCACAGCTGAAAAGAAAGTGGACGCTTGATGATAGCATTTTGTACTGATCAGCTTGTAGGCCGGTACAGCTTTCGTGATACCAGCGGCAGCAGACGTCACACTGCATACCACCAGATGCATCTGTTACTGGCTCTGAACAGTTAACCTGTCCGCAAGCTGCAGTAGAATCATCAAACGAGGACCCCATAGGTCCATCCGTCTCGGTGTTTAGCGAGACAGCCATGTTCATGTGGAAAACAGATTAGAATTACAACACGTATACAATAGGAAAACGACCGCAATAAAAAGACAAAAACAGGGTGCAAAACGGGATTAAAACTGGGAACAACCGGAAAAATTACCAGTAAGCGCCAAAGACGCTTTGGCCAGTACCAATTTAATCGATCCAAGATATCTTGGATCAGAGAAAATTTGACAAAAGTCAAATTTCGTTTCAAGTGTTTATTCAAACACTGTTTTCCACGTTATTTCAGCTGAAAAGCTCGATCAGAATGGCACGCCAAAAAATCGAGTTACCGCGTAGTACTCAGTG